TAAGTACTGTCTGACTTGTGAAATTTGGTACTTGAAACAGGAATGCTGCGGACAGCATTAAGTTGGGGGAGGATGTAGTGTGCCAAATGTGTTTCAAGTACCAAATTGCATAAAGTCGTGATCCACTCTTGATAATAGGCTAGATTCTTGGTGTTATTATTACTTAAATAGATTCTACAGGTCATTTAACCCATAGTCACTCACTGGAACCACTAGGCTAGCTCCACTCAGTCAAAAGTTATTTGATAAATCAGTTTTTTTACTACAGTATAGTATAGTTGTCCTGGGTAGTACATAGTATAGATTTATATTAGGCGCATAGTTGCAATCTTTGTAGAGGCATATGTATGATCACATGCATGATCACATGCTTGGATCACACGTATTTTCACATGACATCACCAGCCACATGCTTGGATCACACGTATTTTCACAACAGACCAGCAAAAATGCCTCAACATAGAAAGAACATTCCGCAACACGTGTGATTTTTTGTATGGGGCAGTGCAGATCACATGACACACCAGCAAAAATGGCTCAATAGAAGCTTCCAAGCAGCAAAAATCCCTCAAAGAAGAAGTCACACCAGCATAAATCCCTCACAGGACATCCTCACTAGCTAAAATCCCTCACAATTTACTATATAAGGAGGTCATTCCTCCCTCCTCAGATCAGTTCCTCATGCCAATCCGGCACATCTACCAGCTACACACATCCCACTCAGAGTCTTCAAGTCAAATTAAGGTAAAATCCAACAGTGTGATCTCAATCAGGTGGCCCATCAACATCTTTCATACCTCAGGAAGCATAGAAGAAGTCAAGTAGCAAGTATCACCCCTTGTGCTCTTAACAAGTCAAAGTGATCTTAACCCATTTGTTCTCTTAACTGAAGGTTAAGGAGGAGGGCAAAGACACTTTGAATAGTTCATATTTTATCATCAGTTTTCTCTCAGTCCTTTCCATATCAACATTTACTTTACTTCACTCATATAAACATATAAAAACATACCAAAATATTTCCCAGCTTTTAAACTCTTTCTATTATCTGATTCCAGACTTCTGTAAACCACGCCAAATTCTTTCCACTCAAAATTCCACTAAGTCTCAGCTGATTTCACGTTGATCTAGGTTTGATAAGAGACTGCTACATATAGTTTTCTCCATCAACAGTTTTTGCCACAACAATAAAATAAATTTGTTGTCAGAATCCTAGTGTAGTACATTAGAGGGGCAGGTCTTTCAAACCACCCGTAACAGTTGTAATAGCTTCATACATACCTGAAATATTATCACTGCTATTTCCCCCTCGCAGGACTGCCATCCATCCCAAAGGAGTTCTCACACCGTTGCATGACCAATGACAACTATCTTGCGTCTGTTGGGCAGCGGTGGGCCGCTACGCTACGCTTTTGGCCCAAAAAGTGTAGTGTAGCGGCGCTTTTTTTTCATCGAAAAACCGTAGTGTTAGCGGTTTTTTGCTACGCTACGCTGCGCTACAGCGCTTTTAGCGGAAAAAGCGGCCAAAAACTGCTAAAAACCGCTGTAGCGCAGCGTAGTGGACCCTTTTTTGCGGCCCACACGCGTAGCGTTAGCGGTGTTGTGGCGGAATTCCGCTACGCTACGCTAATCGCTAACAGCGATTCCGCTGCGTTACGCTACACTAACTGCTACGGTTAGTGTAGCGGCCCAGCGTTGTGTTGGGAAAGATAAAAAAATAACAGACTCACAAATGGAATGCTTTGCAAATATGGATCTTGCAGGTCTTAGTGCATCGTCTAAGAGCTATGGCACTCAAAAGTGTATGAAGGACAACATTAAAGAAGAACTCAACAAGAGGTACTATGAATTCCAGTGCAACATTACAAAACTAGCCATTCAAAATCCTGTTGGGGATCATTGTTACTTCAATCATAAGGGTCAGAGGGCCATGGTCTTGGAACAATTTTCAGCAGCATGATCCCAAGGCACGGAAGTTGTTCAATGAATGTGAGTCATGCTCATCAGCATCTAATCTATCTACTGCTGACTAACAAATCCTTTTTTGCCGGATTCCTCTCTGTGTGATGTAGTTGGTCTTGATCCTGGTTTCCCAAAGGTCTTGGCCTTATGGATAAGGAAGACTTGGCCAGAGAAATGTTGATATCACAATGTGAACTACTTGAACACCTTGCAAGAAGCAACACTGGGTCTCTACTTTACGCTGCGCTATCTGCATTATCTCAGTAATGTAGTGCACTTGCTTCCTTCCCTGATACATTAACATTATCTGTAGTGGTAAATTTTTCTTCCAGCCAGTAGTGTAATGGTGAAGTTTTTGTGTGTAGTGAATGGATAAAGTAATGCATTATCAGACTATCCAGATGTTAAGCAACCCTAAACACATTTTAAGTGGCAAAAAGCCTCTCTTTTTGATCTTTGGCAGCAACACATGCCATGAATGTCCAGAAAGTATCACATGTCTTGCCAATATTTATGGTTTTTTTTTTCAAAAAAAAAATCTACAAGTTGCTGATAGTGTAATGAGCATTAAAAAAATCCAAGGCAAAATGTATAATGTAATGTGCAAAACATTTCCAAACATTATGGGGAAAGTAATGATGAGTGGAAATTCACTACTTTATCTTTACACTACCATTACAGATAATGTAACTACCCAGTGTTGCAAGAAGTGGTGACCAAGTCTGGTGGAACTAATGTACCCCACCCAGAAACTGTCCTCCATGCCCCTCTAGCCGATAGTCTGCCTATTCAATTACACGGAAGAGTTCAAGTGTCAAAGCTTTCCTTAGAGAAAAGTAGCACCTTGGTATTGACTTGGGTGAATAAGTTGCAATTGGACGTAAGTTTTCCCTCTTGTTCTCATGCTTAAAGCAACTTGATGTTTGACAGCAGTTATCTACAAGGTTAGATTCATTTGCTTTCTTTCATCAAGCTGAAGGTTTTTCTGTTGTTGTTGCCTCTCGACATCCCAAGCGCACCATTTATCACAAAGGTGGCTCTCCGATTAGTGATCAATTCTTACGAATGCTGGCCCAGGACAAAGATTCCGATGCGGCCGCCGAATTTCATAACTGGACTGCTGCCCAAGCAATTCAAATCAGTAAAGGATGTGGGGCAACTGCTCCACAGAGGACACGTATCACAAAGTAAGGCTAATCACATCGTAGTTGTAGACATTGTTACTCCCGGTGAGTGCAACATTTAAGTAAGGGATTGCGATATGTAGATGAGCGAATGTGGAATCATTTGGATAAATCATTGGAACTATGGCTAGCTTAGCGAAGAGAGAACTGTGAGGTCATTACAACCTCGTTGTAAGGGACTTGAAAATAAATGGATGAGTGGAAGGGCAGAGCGAGGTTGGATGAACTTGGGGGGAATCAGGCGGGGAGATGTTCCCCGACTTCCAGAACTTCCGCGTGTCGATGAAACATCGTCAAAGTAACCCTTCATGAGGAGCTTTCTCGCGCGGGCTCTGGGTATTCTTCGGGGAGGGTTTATAGGGATCGATCAGGTGATTGAATATAGAACCACCGCGAAAGAAACCAAAAAAAAAAACAGCAAGATGGGATCTGAAAGCACCGCGAGTTTGCAGGCTGGCGTTACTCCTGATCATGTAAAATATGTATGTAAGATGGCACCACGTCCACATCCAACCACCTTCCCCCCTTCTGCTATCTCTGATAGGAACTTCTCAGAACACCCTAGCTTGACTCATGCTGTCAACTAAAACCATCCAAAACATCATCACGGACATATTTGACATCCACAAGCCCCTTCCCCTGGTGTCCGGTGACGACTCTCTTGTCGATCCCGCAGCCATAATTTTTTTGCTATATGCTTGGGAGGGCTCGGCTTTTTTTTTCTTCCTCGTGGCTTGTGTCTGTCCAGATATGTGTATACACAAAATCGAAAGAGACTTCTTTTTAGCTGGGTGATGCTGATAGGCTCGTTTTACCAGTTAGATAGCTAACTCTGTCAAACTCCTCTGTCTGCTTCTCCTCTTCTTCCACGGCCCAACCCGGAGTCAAAGAGAGATGGGAGAACGATGTGGTTGACCATACATACATGTGTGGATGTGCTAAAATTTGTTTGTGGACAGAGGCAATCTTTGATTGGGGCGATCTGTAGGTGCTGCCACTCAAGATATAAAAGCGCTTTCCTCTGCACATCTGCTGAGCTTGTCACTCACGCCCCCCTCAACAACCGAGCTGCATTACTATACATACATTCTCAATTCACTGGGCAATTGCTCTTGTTCAATTGATTTCCTCTACCTGTTTATCGGTTGCATTATTAAGTAGCTTCTCCTAACTCCATACGTTTAAGGACTGTTTGATTAGTCGTGTTTCGTGATGCTTCAAGGTATGATTCAATTCTACTAGACCGCCCTATCTCCTCTCAAGACTTTCATGTTATCACTCCCATCCGCCCCCCATCCCAATCTTTATTCATAATCCATCCTGTGGGATAAGGATCTGGCATGGGCTTCAGCAAAACACTTCGTTGATGTATTGCTGCACCGCAAGTTGACTGAACTGGCCTTGCTTGACTCATTGAAAAAATGCATTGAGTAACCCGGGCAGTCAACATCCTCAACTCAGCCGTTGAACTCGTTTCTTGAATACTTTTCGGAGATGTCGCTGATTTTATCTTGTACCTCAAATTGAACCCGTTCTTAAAAAAAGACCCGATATGTGTGATTGGTAGGCCACTTGGGCGCCTATCGGCCAAATCGCAGGCTGCTTTTTGCGGGCTTTCTCGAGGCAACTTACAGTCAAGCAATTCCCCAGCGGCATCTTCCATTCCTTCTCCGCAAGTAATCAAGGTAGTTCACGAAAAGTTTGATGAGACATCGTTGGCTTCAGAAGGAAGCTGGGCCGGCTTCGCACGAACCGGTTTTGCATGCCTCCGCTTAGCCAGACTTCATACTCTAATGGGTTTGTCAAAAATCTCTCTGCTCAGTCAAGTCGATATTATGAGTTTCTAATCATAGTATCATGCTTCTAAATTCAGCGTGGGCCATCTTTCCCGCCCCTGCAATTTATACCGTCGTGCTTTATCATAGCACTGGAGCAATGGCTCTGGATGCATCGGAGAAAATCCTTGGATGTATGCGATTATCAGTGGTGATGTTCTTGTGTGTATTGAGGTGAGGATTCTCAGATTATTTACTGGGAGTTAATTAAGGGGTGGACATAGAGCGCTCCGATATTTCGGTAGTCACATTAGGTCACACCGTCACATCATCAAAAGCTAACCTCTTTCAATCGATATCTAGTTACCGCGCTGCAGGACTTGCATGGGACGTAAGTCACTTCAGAGCCTTAACACCCCGGGTCTCTCTTCTCTGAATATCTTAGCTTGTATGACTATGGACCCCACCGACTGCCGATAAGTCATCACGAGTAAAAAGTGATGCTTACTCAGTTTGTATACTGCTGCAACAGGACCTTATTGATCGAGATTTTGATGCTCAAGTTACACGATCTATGACTCGACCTCTTCCGGCGGGTGACATATCTGGTTAGATTTCATACTTCATTAGCTCGTCAATCAAGAAGGCCATTCAAAGATTCATACGCAGAAGCAGCTAAATCGAAATGTCTTGTTGTCTTAGTCGATGGCGCTCTGCTCTACATTATCTTTCAAATAGGCTGTACCATCATCTTGCTACAAGCTCTCACAGGCCCCGAGGTGTAAGCTGAGCTCAGAATGTTCAGGGCCAGAAACACTGTTTGACACGAATATCACTGATTTCTTATGTCTCTTTTCTTGTTTGAAGCTTCGTCAGCTTTATAATTTCCGGTGCACTTTTTGGAATTTACCCCTATCTTAAGGTATGCATTCCTGCTAAATGTGTTTTTATGAGAATTCACTTGCAATAAAGTCTGCTCAGTACGTATTCGTAAGCTCATGGATATATTACCACGCAGCGCTGGACAAATTACACCCAAATATTTGGCGCGCTGTTGATTGCCATGGGAGTTATACAAGGATGGCTTGCATGCGCGACTCTCTACAATCCGGTTCCCGGTTTCACTCCTGGTTGGACTCATGCCCTCGCTATCATCCAGAGAGATTGGCTGCAGCTGGTTCCCATTTTCTTGATGGAGTTCACATATGGTTAGTTTTTACGGCAGAAACTCATTAATAGCTAATGCTGACAAGTTTTATATGTCGCTTCGTACCAGAACTCGCACAC